CGAGAACTGGAAATCAAAAGGATTGTTTTTTGGAGCGGGCTGAATATTCCGAGGAATACATCGGGAGAACTTCTGTGCACTCAAGATTATCACATTAATACATGTGGAGGAAGTCAAAGCTTCATCCTCACATCATTTACTGTTAGGGGCAGAGGCACTTGGAAATAACTTGAGTGGTAATAATTTTTGACAGCAGTAACGTGGCTGCTTTTTCGCAGATTGCTTCAAATCAAGCTGATGGCAATTTTTTTTTTCTGGCATATCATTACCAATTTTCCCTTGAAAAAAATGACCAAATTCTGGGGGCAGCGAGGGGGAGGGGGATTACTTGCCTGCCGGTAAAGTCGCCCATGCGAGAAAGGCAATTTTTGCATCTTTCATTCAAATGCTGTTATTGCTTCTTTTTCTTTGTATATGTTTATTTGCCTGTTCGCGAACGGAACGCACATCTGTTTTCAGCTTGATTATTATCCAAATCAGCCGATGTTTCACTATCTTACGAAGATGCTGCGATTTCATGGACTTTATTTCGATGAGCATGTTGTTTGGCGAGATATACAGGTATGCCATGTTTGCATTGTAACGGAATATCTAGTTCATAATTTGCTAGACATATCTTCCTTCTGAATAACCCCTCAGATTTGGCTTCGGAAAGCTGAAATAAGCATGTTGTTAACAGTGTCGTTAAAAAAATTTGTGATTATCTTAGTGGTGATCGCTTCCTTAACAATTCCCACATAGTTTCCATCAACAACTTCATTTTCAAAAGTTTTTGAGCAACATTCAGCTCTGTGCTACCGAACGTGCGATCGTATGCTTAGCATCCTGTAATTTATCCCTGCCGTATTGTAGGTACAGTTGTCGAATGTTCCGTAATCGAACGGTTGTAGACTTGATAAATTCTGAGCGGAATTTAAAAACTAGCGGGATTGTTGTTCCCGAATATTGTGCAGATTGGAGCCCCACTTTTCGTGAACAGAGTTTTATGCAGTTTTTGTCGTGCTGGTGACTGTTCAAAGGAACGTCATGAGAGTATAAACGCCGATTTGTTACAGTGATAACTTACCTGAAGAAGAGCTGTTCGGTAAAGGAACGTTCTCATTTTCAAATGCACGAAATTTCAGAATCGCCTCAAAATAGCTCGCGGGAAAGCTACTCTATCCGCCGATTGGACAAGGCAAAAGAGCTCAGTTACGAGGCGATGTGAAATGAAGATGTTGCCCTTTCGCTATGTCCGAGCAGTGCATTTTTTGCGACCTTCGAAAGAAGCAGTTAGTCAAGCACGGAAACTGTTAAAATTTTGACTGTGATGTTAACTATGCCGTAAAAAATATGGGCTGAGGTCTTGCTGGGCTGAAAGCCACTGAACGAAAAGTTTTTTCCTTCCGACTGTTTAGGGATGGCTAGATGCGCTGGAAATCAGCATATGGTTTTCTTTGTATGCT